CTCTGGATAAAAGTATTGGCATTTGGTCTAGAAGCCTACCTCCACTTCTTATTTTCTTTGTCTGTAAAATTGTATTAAAAGATACTTTACCTCTCCCCAGCTCTGCTTCTGTTAGCCTGTCCCTCAGAAAGCCAGAGGAAAGAAAAGTCTCACATGTAGCTTCCTACACACAAACACAGCCACACACCTTCCCCCTCTCCCACTGCCCCCCAAAGAGGTATCTTTTCCTGTAAATTTTATGAATTGTAGATTCACATTATTTAGGAGCTAGACCTAAGAAGGATTTATTTTAACCCAAACAAATGTTTTATATAATGATTGAAAATCTGCTAGAAACAATATAAAATATGATTTTGTCTTAGTAAAGAACAAGTGGAGTCAATAATTGCAACACCTTGGGCAATCTGAAGTTCTAAATGTGAGTTATTTTGAATTATATTTAACTCACTTCAATAACAATCTGCAAAATAATGGTCAACACACAAATTTGCACAAGTTTTGCAGAATCACACACTTGGGTGTGACAGATATATGATTCTTGAACAGTAGAACAAGATAAATAGGTCACTGCCTACTTTCCAATTTCCAGTCATTGCCACTGTGTGCTGGAAGCACCCTTCAGATCTGATGCCCAGAATACTTTCTCAGCTTATGCAAGTGTGCTGCAAATTTAAACTTTCTACACCTCTTTTTTTACAAACTTCCAGTCAGTAAACTCATAGCTTCTTAAAGAATAAGTTAATGAAATTAATTGGCTAATAAATGAGTCTGAGTAGTCGACAAATGTGCTCTAAGACTTGACAACTGCAAATGCTGTTTCTTAAGAAGAAATTTCCATACTCTAATAGGTGGTCTCACTCAACATTTTGTTTTCTTGCCAGGAAACATTTCCCAGCAAAGAGCATCCTTATTTTTAGCCTATTCGAGCAACTGAAAGCAGCAAGGAACACAGTCATGGAAGAAAGTAGTTCAAGAGGGATGTGCAGCATTATGGGACACCACTGACAAAACTGATCAATAAAACCAAGGTTCGCCTGTGATGCTTCTGGCCCTCAGCCTGTGACAGATCTCATGATGGAATCAATAGGAGCTATGCTTTCACAACCAAATCATTATTTTTGAGAAATAAATTGCAGGGGCATTCACTTCATTCTAGACTCAGTTTATATTTTTTATGTTTTATGGGTGTAGAAAAAATTTATTTACCAATCAAAATTAATGTGAGACCTTTTCTACTGCTGGGTAGTGGGAGGGACCATGTAAAGGGGCTTCCTTTAAAAGCAAACCTTGCCAGGGTGCTCTTTCTCCTCTAAGATAGATTTTAAACTCATTAAATATCTACATGGTCTCCCAAGGAAAATATAGCTCATACAGCAGCAGATATCTTGTGAAGTGAAAGAGTCAGAAGAGATCCGGGGAAAGTGATCAGGTGAAACACAGAGGAAGAAACTGGTTTTCAGCAGACAAGAAGTACTGATTTCACTGTTTTAAAAATGTATATAATCAGAGGTTTATTTAAGGTGATATTTCCGTAGATTCCAGAACAAAACTTTTTCTGTGCTTCCAGACAATAACTATGCAAGTGCAAATATGCATATATAAGGCAGATAGATGGAAATAAGCAAGAAGCAGTGAACCAGGAGAATGTACATTTTATAAGTAAGACTACCCAAAAAAAAAAAAAAGCAGTATTTCAAACTGAAATATTACAAAACTACAAAACATTACAAAATTACTGCATTTTCAAAATCTACATAGCACCAACAGTAAGACATTCCTTGAAGTCTTTGCCTAAGACTGTAAGTTTAACAAAACCAGCACATAAGCCATACCTTTGTGCAGGTTGCCCTGATGTCTTTCTCCCATACAAAGTGCAGCAGTTTAGCAATAAAGCATGCCTTCATTTTAATATATGTAACATAATCACCTAGCAACATAATTTACTCCAACTAAAGAACTGCATAGTCCATCACCACTTTTTCTGGAGTGGCCCACGTCAGTGTCCTCAGGAATGAACAGGGCAAGCATAGAGGAGCTCTTAGTGCACCAGGACTTCTTAAGTCAGAAGTGTGTCTTGATGTCTAATAGATACATTATTATGATTTGCCTGATTCCTTTTTTCCTTTTTCCACACTTATGATTTGCCTGATTCCTTTTTTTGCCTACTGACTCTGCAAGATAACCTCGATGTGCTGCTGTCCACAGCCTTCTGTTGTCAGTGTGCCATGTGTAAAAGCAGAGGTCAATGTGTGAGCATAAAGCAACCCAAATCTATCTCTAGGAATGCAGAGATCAGAGTAAAAAATGCTGGAAGAGCCCCTGAGTGCATTGGATGCCCATCAGACAAAGCAGTGTGGTAATTGTATAAAACACTTCTTTCTTGGAGACAGAGGCTCTCTATGAATTTTTTGGTCATATAGAGGGAAATCACAAAACACTTGGGATGCAGGGGCTGAACAGGACCACAATTAAAATCCACTGCAGTATCTAGACTTCTCAGCTCTGCACAGATGCCTGACTTCCATAAGAAACCATACAGTGACAGGGTAGCTGGAAGAAAAGAATACACAGATGATGGAGAAACCACTAGCATTTTAGAAGGGTGACTTGTGCTCTTAATATGCTGAAAATATATTTACATCCTACCATTTTTAAAGAAGATCTTGTGAACTAATAAATGTGATGCCCATACCAGACAAGTTAGTAGCAATTTTCTTTAAAAATAACTTTAATAGATATATGGGAAATAAATGTAGAAATCTGCTATATGAATGAGACTCATTATGAAATTTTGTTTGACAATGGGCTTTTTCAGTTAAAGCAGGTAACAAAGGGAAGTTGTCTTAATATGATCTGCTGAAATTTTAAGAGAAGTAAGCACAGAAGCTCTTCTTCTCACCAGAAGAGCTGAGAAACAGGAATAACGGGTGGATAGCTTGTACCAGAAGTATCAACTAAAAGCATGGAAAGTAGAGAAGAAAAATAGCCTTAGTGGAGAGAAGCCCTGGGGGAGCCCTTCTGGCCAGGATCAGTAGCATGAACCATACTTGTGTGTCACAGCCCATCCGTGAGCTGTGCGGAGGAAGGCACAGACAATGGGGTGGCATGGCCTGCTGAGGATACTGAGCTATTCAGTTTGGTACAGCTGAGTGGCTTATTGGCCATGAAGAAACACACCACAACATTATGGCACCAGGTAATAGCTGGCAAATTTAATACAGAGTGTAAAATGCTACACGGGGGAAAATGCAATCCCTGCTCTGCCAGCTGTGACAGGTCCCTGGGGGACTGCTCATGCATAGTCCCATGAAAATACTGGCTCAGTGCAGAACCTGAACAGAAAATAAGGATATTAACTATGGAAAATATAATAACCAGAGGGTAAAGTATGGCTGTGCCACAGCACCACCACCACAGCGCATGCATGTTTTGCGTAATGTGTCAGCTTTGTGAGCTCTGTGTGTGCTCTGGGACTCTGTGCTGTGGAGATGGCGACCAGGGGTCAGCTGGGACAGCAGGAGATCAGAACTTGCCGGAGAAGGGCAGTGAAGCTGGGGAGGGCCTGGAGCACAAGGCCTGTGGGAGCGGCTGGGGGAGCTGGGGGTGTTCAGCCCGGAGAAAAGGAGGCTCAGGGGAGACCTCGCACTTCCTACAACTCCCTGAAAGGAGCTGCAGTGAGGTCTCCTTGGTCTCTTTTCCCGGATAGCAAGTGACAGGATGAGAAGAGGCAATATTAAGGTGTGCCGCGGGAGGTTTAGGTTGGACATTAGGACGAAGTTTTTCACAGAAAGGGTGATTAGACATTGGAATAAACTGCCCAGGGAGGTGGTTAAGGAAAGACTGCACGTGGCACTCAGTGCCATGATTTAGTTGTTCGGTCACAGGCTGAACTCGATGATGTCGCAGGTCTTTCCCAAACCATCTGCTCCTGTGACTCCGCGGGCCCGCAGTGCCCTCCCCGTGAGGGGCCACCAGCTCCACGGGGCGGCCGCGGAGAGCGGGGCCCGGCCGCGCCTCCCCACGACACCGCGAGGTGGCGCCGCGGGACCGGGCAGCGCCGGCGGAAGCGGCGGCGGAGGCCGCGCTGGGCCCGCCGGAACGCGGCGAGGGAGCGCTGGAGGCGGCTTTGCCCGGCTCTCCGTGCCCGCCGGAGCCCCGGGCTGCCCGGGTGGGTGCGGCGACGGCGGTGCCCCCGCGCCGGCTGCGGCCTCCCGCCCGGGGAGGGGACGGGCTGAGGGAGATGGCAGCTGGGGCGGAACGGCGGCGGGAGCGGGAAAGCGAAGGGCTCAGGAGGGAGATGTGGGAGCCCGGGCGCCTGGCGGGGCCGAGGGCGGTGGTTGTAGCACCAGGCGGTGCTTGTGCTGCGGTACGGGCGCGGGGCTGTGCGTTTCCCTGCAGGTCACCGGCCCGCGGCCTGAGGCGGCGGGAGCGAGCTCGGGCGGGAGCGGCGCTCTGCGCTGGGCCGGGGGCAGCCGGGCACAAGGCCCGTGCTCCTGCCAGCCCTGGGGTGTAATTGTGTGCCCTGGAGCAGGGACCGGCGCTGCTCATCGCTGCTCCGAGCCTTTCGGTCACTTGCCGGAATCTGGGCACGAGATCTGTGAGACCAGGAAGTTACTTATGCCTTCAAAAGCTGTACTGAAGAAGTTCCATCCCGTTCCTTGTTTATTACTAAATTGACCATATATATATGAAACATAAGCTAACTGGGCTACTGATAATTGTACAGCTTTCAGCACGTTATTTCTTCCCTCTGATTTTTGGCCGAAATAGCTTTTGGGTTTATGTGCTGAAGCTCAGAGAATGAAGATCCTCTTCTGGGGAGCCACAGTTGATTACACTGCCTCGGCTCTGATAGGGCCAAAGGATCCGTAATACGTATGCTAAAGTTTGGGAATATTATTTTACATTATGCTAATTTGTTTCCCTTCCGTTCACAGGAGTTGCTGCTGTTGTTTTAAGGACATTGATGTGAACATCATAGTGATAGGTGGGTCTTCATAGCATTCCTGTTGGGATGAGAAACAGCCGTATCCTAAGTGCTGGGCAAGTCTTGTATTTGCAGCCATTCGCAAAACAGAATGCAGGGTATAGTGTCGGTAACTTTAACCCCTTCTTTTGAAGAGAAATAACTTTTGCTGCCAGCTGTCCCAGCAATCACAGACTTGTGTTGTTATGTGACTGTAACTAGGGCACTTCGGTATTAAAGTTAACGTCACAGCAATGCGCAGCGTTAATCTGAAGCACAGACTGTCATCCCACTTTTCAGATATTTGTCTCTTCTGGTGGTAATTCTGCATCAGAGTAAGCATCAGAAGTATAAAATTGAGATAGTGTTCATGGGAGGATGCACGTTATTGATGTTGTTATGTTTGCGTTTTTTTAGCTAGCGTGTACTAAGGTGAGTTCAAAATATACAGCACAAAATTATGTTTAATCTCTCAAACTGTGAAACTTACTGCCAGGGGATTTATTGGAAACACCTGTTATTCATGGGGGCTTTGGCTTTAAATGCCAAAAGTTTTGGAGATGCAAAAAAAAAAAAGTGCCTGATCTACCACTTGCTGAAATCAGGAGAAATGTATCTGGAAAAGTAATTCCTTTATGAATATGTTAGTGTCACATTTTACTGAGTATCTGCTACTAACCATTGCCAGAAACTGGATACTGAGTTAGGGCAGCTCTGGCCTCACTGAAGACACTTTTCACAGCAGGGACAAAAGCAGCAGTGGACAGAGGGGCTGGTCTGTTGTAAGGGACATTTCCAATTCAAATGTAGTTGGCTTTTTCATGAAAGCTTTGTATAAATATGTTTTGTTGAAACCTGCTGAATTTATTGAAATTCCACCTTCTGTTAATAACATATGATGTTTTTACCATAATATGATGTAATAGGTTACTTAATCTTGTGTTGATGGATATTGTGAATAGTGGAACCCTCACTGATCCTGCACTGGGCTTAAAGTTGTCCCTGTTTCCTCCACGGGGTCACACTCTGTACAACACACCACTAGTCCCAGAGTGGTCCCAGAGTGGGATTTACTTACCAAGTTATAAACCCCAGTGCATTGAGGTATGTCAGACATTGTCTCCACTTCTGTTGACTCCAAGGGAATTAAATGCTGTCATTGCTTTGATGGGATTTATTTATTTTCTCTAATGCTCACCTGCCTCAAGCTGGTAAGGGGGACAGATGTGTTTTGATGCAAGGGAGTACATCCCTGGTTCATTATCAGTGGAGAAATATTTTAAAACTGGGAAAAGAAAGTAGAAAAAATGTCCATCATTAATGATCAGTATAAGCAAACAAATCTCTTTCCCATTTTAAATTGTACATTTGCTTGTAAGTTTCATATATTCAATTGGTTACATACTTCATTTTTTAAAGTATAAATTACAGAACTATTACATTTATTTTTTTGCTGCTTGTCCTGTTTAATATTTGATGTAGTTTGTTTTGGAAGAGTAATTCAACTGAAAATAAAACACTCACTTTTTAGTTTAGTTTTCTCGCTTGCAGCATTTTTATGCTCTGCTTTATATTTGTGGTCTAATGTTTCATAAATAATTTATGAAAATAATTAAAGTTTCTGTGTTTGGCAAAACACGTTTTTCCAATTTGGTAAACTAATATAGTTGGATGGTTTTTTCAGGGGTTTTCCCCTTCCTTCCTTTCAGAAAGTGTACATACATGTTGTGTGTTAGTAATAAAGTATCAGACTTTACCAATTACTGCTTCCTCCGAGCAGGCAGGAAAGAATCCAGTGACTCACATGCTTTAGTTGCCTAATGCCTGAATCTGCAGCCTTTGTTGGCATGAGTTGTTCATCAGCTGCAGTGGGGCTGCTCCTGTATGTAGAGTTTCTTGCAGACACAGGGTTATGGTGTTACCAGGGGTTTATGGCTTTGAGCTTACTTTGGGCTTTGGACACATCCAAAAGGACAGTCATTTGCTTTTGTAGCTGCTGCATGATTTGCATTTTGGTTGACCATTCCATTCTCCTTTCACGCAGTATGGCTTCTCTTAAGTGACAAAGAGTTGCTCTTTAATGAGTATTGTTAAATATGAGGCAGAACACAACTGTACTGTATTGATATGCATTTTGAAAAACCCTGGCTTTATCCTGGTATGAATCTACAGCAGTCTTAAGGGCTGTCTTGGCTATATTCTACTCTTTCTGGGAATTTGACCATATCTTAAGAGTAGCAATAGGTAGTTTACTGTACTGTATTTCTGTTACATTTCACTGGCACCTAAAATAAAAGTTCAGGCTGAGGGTGAGAATATCAGGAGAAATATGTGAAAGAAGCAGCTAACCTATTAGTGTAATAAATTAATTGTCAGGTATGGGGAGATGACGAATATTTCTCAGTGCGATATACTGGTAAACTACCCTGGATATGTTGGTAATTATAAATCCTGCCTGGTGATTCTAGAGGTCTTGTTCTCCCTTTGTACCCCCACAACCATTTTTTCATTTTTAAATTTTTTTTCCTGTCCAATTGCTCCTCTTCTTTATGCCTTTTCCTCACATTTAAAAATTGTCGTTGCAACTTGAACTGACCTGTGTTTTCTTCATGGGAGGCAGGATCAGATGCTGGAGAGGATTAAAAAAAAAGAGAGGCAAAGAGAAAAAGGGGACTGTATGTGGTCAAAAGTGCACCCCAGGTTAAACCTCACTGCATGAGTGGAATTGAGATGGGTTTAAACATTTTATGGCAATTGCTTATTTTATACAAGTTCCTGTGCAGACACAGCTAAAAAGTGAGAACAATTTGTTTCCTTTAACTTTATAGTTTTTGTTTGGCATTCATTTGGAGAATAAAGGTTGGGGAAACATGAAGAAAGAGAAGAGCAATGGGAGAAATGTTCAGTTCCAGCATTTCAGGCTGCATTTTGTAGAAGGCTCTCTTTTATCTTTCTTACTGTAGTGGGGAATTGTAATGAATGGGATTTTTACTGCTGCTAATCAAAATCTATCAGTAAGAGACTTCAACTTGCCCCAACAGAAAAGGGATGCTTAACAGATGTAGGTCATGGTACTCAGATATAACAAAAAATATATTCAGTGCCTGTGATCACCTTAATACATATATTTTTATGAATTAAAAAGCTACTCTTTTATTTTCTAGTTCACCTTGATCATCACCAGAACAAACTCCACAAGAGATGGTAAGAGATCTTCACAGGTTTCTATGGAACGGCTTAGTCACATTTTATATATAAAATGCATATAAACACTTTCATTGAACTGTGAGTGCAGACATGTAAAAATTAGATGTAAAAGTCACTAAATAGCTTTGAAAATAGAATTCAGATTATAACAATGAGTGATTTGTCTACTCCTGGTAAGACTCCAGAGAAATAACAGGAGAATAACAGAGAACTCCGATCATTTGCCTTAGATTTATAGCTTTTGTTTCCTTGAGGAAATCTCTTATTTCCATTTATTCCACAGCTGAAAAAGCACAGACACAGAATTAAGTGAGACCAAAAGTGTTCTTTTCCCTTTTCCGCCCAAATGTAAAACATTTCTGTAATTTCTTTTTTAACAGATGTATTTTTAAAATTCAAATGTAAGAGTGGTTTTCAAGGGTCGCTTTGAACAAAAAGCCCTCACAAAAAGTAGTTAGACAAGCACCAGCATCACAGTTCTGTCTGCATGAACTGCCTTTTTGTCTTCCTTTTCCCTAAATTAACAAGTGGAGCTAGTCAGCCAGACAAATCAACCAACTTGATTCCAGAGCTTTCAGTAAAGTCATCAAGTTCCTTTTTAGAAACATTTTGCAAGAACTGAAGATAATTTTTGAGCTTTGAAAGAATATCTTGTATTTTTTTCAGATATATAGACTGTAGGAGATACCTGCTTTTGTCAAGCTTCATGGTCTTTCAAAACTGGATTTTAAAGTATTTTAATATTTAAAGAATAGTCAAAATGTTTTAAAACTAACTTGTTAATGTATCAGGTTTGATAATAGGACATTCTCATCTGTCTGCTGAAGGATGAGGAGCCAGCATGACATTCTTAAGCAAAGGGAAACAGTAAATAAAGCATTGTTCATCCTAGGTATTAGGTAGTTGGATGATTAAGGATGAAGAAATTCCATATGGAAGGCAGATGCTTTCCTCCTACCCACTCATCTTGGGAATGATGCTTTTTGGGAACTCCAAATGCATGGTCTTGTAGCAGTGCAGTGTTAGACCTAGAAGAGAATAACAGTGAAGTTTCATCTCCATGAATTCTTTGTTTTCAGGAAAGATAATTTGTCTCTCTTTTAAATCACATAGTTGAGCTACACAGCCTTCGCAAATAAGCTGCAGTTTTTGATCAGGAATACCTTAAGGAATGCAAGTTTGTGGTGTTTTTCTTTGTGTACTCTGTTAGCTGAAGATGTTTTGTTTCTGAGACCACTTAACAATGGCCTAAAAAAGATACAGTATTTATTTCTTATGGAATAATGGGCTCAATTTTCCAGAAAGAAAGGCAGCATGAGAGTTGCAATTATTATTCCAAGCTCACTGTTCTATTGTTCTCTATTGTCTGAGAACCAGAAAGTGAAAACAAATGTAAGTAGACTAAATTATCCTCTCTGGATAGTGTTAAATGGAAAGTATTTTTAGGTTTGAATTTTCTGTTTTGCCTTTAGATTTCTTTTCCTTATAGAATCATTATTTTAAGGGGACAAAATGGTGCCAGGGCAGCTCAAGAAAACAGTCTTAAAGATTTTTTGTCCTGTATGTACTTAAAAGGAAAAAAAAAAAAAAAAAAGCAAGCACCTTCATAAAGAACTGTAAATGTTACCATCTCTGAAAACATCAGCTAGTTTTGCCATAGTTTTGAATGTTTGCCAGAGCATGGCTTAATTAAAATTTTCCTATTTAAAGTAGAGGCATTCTTGTTTTACTCCAGATAAAGTATTTTGTATGGAAATTAAGACATGAGGGAAAGGGAGAAAATATTTGCTATTTAATTTACTTGTTCTAGGCTCTGGTCTACTTTATGGCTTTGGTTTTTTAAGATCCTCTGTTATCCTGCTTTTTGAGAGTTGGATGAGGGTAGAGATGAAATGGCTTTTCTTAAGGAAGTTTAAGGCTGCAGGGACTGTGGGGCTTTGTAGTTGCAGTGGAATCTAAACAGCACAAAACTTCTTTAAGGAGAGCTAAGATTAGCTGGAAGACAGGAGAAGGTGTGTTACACTATGTTTCTTTCTATAGAACTGTTTTTCTCTGTACTTTATCAGTGGCACTTTATTGCCTCTTTTCATGTTTTAGTTGGTGATGGATACAAAAAGGAGATTTACTGGCAGCTTGCATTTCGCTAAATACAGTCTTGTATTGTACAGATTGTGGCCATGGTGGATATATTAACTTGTCTGAATTGCTGTTTGACCTTTTCTGAGAAATTTTGGCAGGCAGACGGAGGAAATACATTACTGGAGGAAATACATTACTGGATAAAATGAATGCATTTCTTTAATGCAGAGGAATCTTAATCTCTTGTGTTTTCTGTCTGTGGATTTGGAAATCAGGTGTAGGTTGTAATATCTACACCTTGGAATTACTCAGTTCTTATAACTCATATGAGTGTCTAAGGAATTTTGGATTATATCCACACAGTGTATTTCCTAAAAAACCTGATTCCTACTGTAGTAGCATGAGTCCTTGGAAAAGTGTGCCTTCTGGACACTACAACTTCTGGACATGTACCTTCTGGATGCTACAACTTCTCTGTTTATAGTTCTTCAGTGGTGGTTGTGTTGATGCCAAAAGAGTCTCTTGTAGGAGTAACTAGGTGTGGTGCAAGTGCACTGTGCTCATACATGTTGTTTTTCAAATCTCCGTGTTCCATCATAACTAAAGGATGACTAAAGATTAAAAGGCAGTATTGTGCTTGCATTTAGTTTCTCCCCTCAATTGCTCTTCATTTCTCTCTCTCTTTATACCTTCTTTTTGGAGGGAAGCATTAGTGCTGTGGTGTGTGGTTGATTCTTTTGTGTTCTTTCCCTCTCCCCGTGTGTTCTGGCCGCAGGAGGACACCGAGCCGTGGTACTCTCAGAAGGTGTACGCCAGGTACTGGAGGCACTATGACTTAGCCATGCGCTGGATGCGCAGGCACCAGAAAGCCTACAGGAAAGCCATGGAGTCCTTTTATCGTGTGCCTTGGCATCCGTGGCATCCTGCTGCAGCCTCTCCAGGCAGCCACTACTCAGATTGGGATGGGAGTAATCTCCCACATACCCCAAACTATTCTTCCAGCTATGGACCAGATGTCAGAGTTCCACATCACGGGGGAGCTCAGCAGTACACAGGTGCCTACCAGGAGAGGGAGGATGCTGATGAGGACTCCGAAATGGAAGAGGATGCTGAAAGGGACTCTGAAATGGAGGAAGACTCTGAGTCTGAAGGAGAGATAGAATATGACTTGAGTAACATGGAGATCACAGAGGAGCTTCGCCAGTTTTTTGCACAGACAGAGAGGCACCGAGAAGAGCTGCGTAAGTCCATGCTCGTTCTGTGTTTTGTGGTATTTGGTGGCCATAACATTGAGTGCTAGATGGCTTCAACATTTACAGGTTTTGTAAGAATTCACAGAAATAGGCACTGCAAGTGAACAAGCCAGCTGACTGAAATAGGCAGAACTGATGGGTGTGCTTAAGTACCACTCATTAGAAATAAGTTTCAGAAAATGTTTGAAAGTTTTTGGTGAGAGAGACAAAAAAAATTATGACTGCAAAGAGAAGAATAACACTTGTGTCTAGAAGACAGTATTAATCATCAGTGCTGAGGAAAAAAGCTCCAGAATTCTTATGGTTAAATCTAGTTAATGTGCTGTATGTCTTAGAATGGAACCCACAGGAAATGCTTGACTACATCACTGAATCCTAGAGTAAGCCTCAATGTATTTTATAACATGGAGCAACCATTTTGTTTGTTATTCTTTGGCTAACCTGACAGTAAAATTTCATTACCCTTTTCTCCTCCCCCTGCATCCTCTTCATTCTGTACTCTGTCACAAGTTTCTCTTTGTTGAGCATCTTGATCTGGTCCCAAGTCCTTTGATAGAAAATGTAAGTCTTAAGATTTTTTTCAGGTCTTGATCCTCAGAGGTATCGGCCGTCTTTGTTTCTGTGAAATTCTTAAAAGAGTAAAGGATTATTCTGTGCTTTATTGACACTTTACTCATATACAGATGTTGCAGAAAAATTGTTACCTGTTTTAAGAAAGCAGAATAATAAAAATAACTTTTCTCACATGACTCCAGAATACACGTAATGAATGTTTAATAGAGCTTTTTCTGCTTCTCTGAAAGAGAAAACATTGTAAAAATAAAGGCCATGATTGAAAGGGAAAAAAAAGTATTTTAAGCTCTTTGATCAGCAGGTATCAGAGGGTGAGCTGATAACTCAGCTTAACTTCAGACTTCTCATCGATGTGATGCACAGTTGATCCAGTTAGCAGAGAAAAGTGAGTTAAGGAGTTCTGTGGAAGTGCCTGATATGAATCCCTTTCTCAGTATGCTTTTGCAGAATCAGCTTGGTGTTCTCTGTTGAAATGTTCCTTTGATGAGCTACTTGGTGCTTTAAGACACTGGATTGCTTCTGGGAGTGCAGAACATTTTGGTTTGGATTTATTTTGACTAATACGATTAGTGGTATTTAAAGGTATGTGAGTGAATAAAGGTGGTATCCTGGAAATTGGGAAGTCAGGTCTTAGAGATGTTCTGTGTAGCAGATACCCTGTATGACCTTGGTGTAGCTATTTAGTCTCTTCCAGACCCCTCACTGGCTGTGCTTGCTAAAAATATGATTTGTTCTTTATGATGAGCAAGTGAAATGGGAAGAAGTTCATGACTCAGAATACAGATTTTACTTTTGTTCCTTCCACCACAGCAGTACTCAGAGCCTTTTGGGATGATTTGGTCTCTGCTCTGTGTTGTGTGGTAACCTAGTTCTGGATGAGTGTAACTCCATGTGCTGCAGTGACACTATTGCAGATCTTCATGCTACTTCAAGCAGGCTCAGAAACTGCGTGCCTCAGTTTCTTTAGTAGCTTTCCTGATAAAGTGAGGATAGTGCTGAGTAAGCATCTGTAAGTCCTCAAAGCATGAAAAAGTAAGCAAGGGCTTGATTTGTGAAAGTGAAATTTATAATAATTTATATAAATAACTGAAATTTAAAAGTGACATAGAAATCTAGGGTGAATGTTGCTTTCTAAATGCTAATTTTGTGAGCAATTAAAAACACAGTATGATCTTGTTTGGAAATATTTTTTTCTTGCATGGTGAAGGAAAACGAAAATAGAAGAAATTTTTTATTCTGTTAAAGTTTCTCAAAAGAAAAAACATAAGCAGCAGGAAGAGGGAAAAATCATTGTTTCTCTAATGGTTTGGAAATGAGCTGGTATGAAAGGCAGTAGTACTCTACATTAAGAGGTAGTTTTATTAATTTTCCTGATTGCTGTTTATGAACAAAATTTAATTTAGAGGTTAATTAAGCTGTGATCCATAATGATGCTATATCATGTTATATCTTTCATACTGTTTAACACTTGGCATTTTGTATTGATGCTTGAGAAGATTGAGATAATGCATCCTCAAAAGATATACTCAGTTACTTGAGTATTTTCTCTTTAATGACTTTTCCTTTTAATCCCAAACTGCACGTCCATATGAGCAGATTTATAGAGAAACTTGGGTAGCATAAACCTGAAATAATGCCTGAAATTACACCTCCATTTCAGAGAAGGACATTTGTAAGAGTGAGGCAAGATTTTTACATAACATTTAAAGTGAATTAGATTGTTTGGGTGTGCCACAGTAGAATACCAATAAGGACCTTGACGATCAGTTAAAATAAAAGCCAGTCGTTAGGGAACATTAAGGGGAAGGCTATGTCTCGTATATTCTTCCTCTGGCATCAGTTACGGGCCCGGGTGGAATTCACAGCCTCTGACCCCTGCACCTTGATATTCACTTGGGAGAAGACACACAGCTTACTCTTCTTCTAAAAGCAGATTGGCAAGAGGTAGACACACGCTTATGGGCAACTGAATGAGGTGGGAGTCACGAGGGAGCAGAGCATCAATGGGGCAAATAGGAATGGGAATTTGGCATGTAAGGAAGGGGATACCAATCTTTGTGAAGTATGACCTCCACTGGTTTGGTGTTTTTGTACCTGTCCAAACTTAGGAAATACTACACAGCATTAATGCATCTATTTTGGACACGTGTAGTGAGTCTTGATTTTTCATGTGAGATATAGCTGGTTCCCACACCTGATCCACAGATGTCTCATAGGCATATAGAAGGATAATCAAATGGATTAAAAGGAATCCTACCTGATGTCAGACTCTTCAATTAAAAAGCCTGATCAAGAGCTTGCTGGACATAAATAATCGTAGACATCAGAGGATAAGATCTTGCAAACTTTAACTGTGAAAGACTTAAATAGGCCTGAGGTAGGTGGGAATGAGGTGGCTCTGTCTTGGAGGTCTTTTCCAACCTTAATGATTCTATGATTCTGTGGCCCTGTGAAAGGCATTTGAGCCTAGATGGTAACATATAAGCCTTAATGCTAATTGCAAAGAGATATGCACCACAGATAAGAAAGATGTGTCAGACTAGCCAAAGAAGAAAACTTCAGATTTATTTCATTTCTTTGTAGCTGCCACAAACTTGAAGAACAAGCCGATTTCTAACTTCTGTAGGATTTTTTTGTTTTGTTTTTTAAGTGGGCTTTTGCAGTGATGGGCTGACTTGTAAAGTAAGGGCTTCGAAACTGGCAAACTCGCTGCGTGATTTAACACTTCTGCAGTGATACAGTTCACAAACAGCCTCTTTTAAAACAATTTTTTTTTTTTTTTTGTCTTTGAAGTCACATCAATTTCTTACTAGTTTTTGTATTTGTATCATGTGTTGTAGTCAATTACATGTGCCTGGAATGCCCAGAAGTAATTACGAGTAACGTTTGGCTGAGGCTGTATGAACTGAGACATACTAATACACTACAAACTTATCTGATGTTTTAGATAAATGGCTTTGGTTAAAACCCTTACAGACAGTTTTAATTCCTCTTCATTTTTTTCTTCATATGCAATTGTAATTATACTGTGATTCTCTTTTTAGAAGGTTTTCTTGTGAGGCTAGTCTGTCATTCTGGGACTTCATTTAGCTGGTGATCCAAGCATACTGTGCATCTTGGGAATGTTTATAGTTGCATTTAAATTTTCCCTTTGGCAGTTGAAAAACATGAAGTTGTTTTCCTGGGTTACCATACCTGTCAGACCTAAGTGTGGTAGCAGATCCTGCAGTAGATTTGCATCCTAGATGTAAAGGATAGAATGCAGTAAGGTGCCTCTTTACATTTGCAAGAATTTAAAGGGGTAAAAATCAAGAAAGGAAGATACCTTAACAGTTCTGTAAATTGTCTAATTGCACATATTTATTACACCTTTAAATTTATCCTTTGAAACATGTAGTTTGTCCTTATACAATTTTTCTTTGTTTCCTCTTGCATATAAGAGAAAAACACTGCTAAAATTGAGTGAGTACAGCATTGCAAGTACATTGAGAACTATTCTGTAGTAGTTAACAGGACACAGACAGAATCCTTTATTTAAAAACAAAGAAAAGCAAGGGGAAGTACCATCATGTCAGTTCATTACCGAAGGATAATAGTCTATCATTTGTTAATGCTTCGACTATTTTTTCCATCAAAGCCTCTGTTTCTATTGCCCACACATAGCCTCCAGCTTTTCCCAAAAATAAGGTCTCAACTTAAATTCTTTGATTCTAGATGAATAATATTTTTTATAGAAATGAACGGAAGTGGTGAATGAAGATGTTTGTTTCAAAACTGCAATCTGTGGGCTTTTCCCCTCAGGTTTCTTTTTCTCTGAAAGATGATAGTTGCCACTGCCTCTTCTGTGAAGAGGAAGTAATGGAATTTTCCATGTTTTGTAACTTGTTTGACTAGTACCAGATCCAAGAAGCTTTTGATTTTGTTTAAGGCTTGCATGCCTCTTGGAAAACAGACTTTGATTCAGGGCTTTTACCACCATGTTTTCCTTCTTTCCTTCATTTTTGGTAAATGCTTTTCCCTGGATTTTATCTGCCTTTTTCTTCATATGACTCTTGCTCAAATACTTGGAACTACAGGCTCCCCACCGTTTCTTTTTCTTCTTCCCTACCATAAACTGTCCAAGCAGTGTGGATGGTGAACTTAAAAATACCAGCTCAACTTCCCTTCCTTTAGCAGCCTTTGTTGACAAACTTTTTGACAAACCAAAAAGCCTTGTTTGGCATGAACTTTAGCTACAGTCTGTAGAAGCTGAGATGCTAAAGCTTCTGAGAAATGCCTGTGAAATGAGAGTGCTCTCTGCAATATGTGTGGGTGCTTGAGAGGTGCTTTTGAAACATGTTATTTTGTGAACTGAAGAAGAAATGTGAAAGTTACTCCTTTTGTACCACATCTCTGATGCTGATGATTGAACCTTT